GAATGTTAATCTCAGGGGAACATAAATAGAGTTCAATTAGTGATGAGTAAATACTTCTCAGCACAATCGAACTGTACTTGCAAAGAAAGCTATGATTATGTTATAAATTGTAGAAATTTCATGCAATCAATCCCTCTACGACACAACTAATACAAAATACAAATGAGTAAACCGGTTATATTCTATTACTTTAAATGCAAGACAATACATTTTGAGACAAAATACTCCTAAATAACATAAAAATTTCACATGTAGTCATCATGTAGCCTACGACATGCCGCGCTGGCAATTTATAGTGGCACATCGGGCGCACGACAGCTCGTCAGTTTATTTTCAGAACACACTGATATAATGCAAACAATATTGAGCAAACACATTAATTCTCTTTTTCAGCCGCACTCATCGCAATTTACTGGACGTCCGCAACTATTTCTAAATTTTATTTGACTTATATCAGAAGACTCATAAGTTTCCAATGATGTCTAATTAGGAACAAGCTTCTCAATGAAGTTCGTTTTCAACATGAATGGATATAAAATTTACATATTTTATTTTTTCCGGAAACTCAAGCGACAAGTTCCGGAAACTGGAGGCATGTATTTTATGAGTAACTAATGGAGAATTGGCACAGTAGCTCGTGATCACGAATATATTTTTTCGACAGATCGTAATCTTAATTGAAAACCATGCTTGGAAATATTCAGTAGAAATAATATTTAACTTAAGCAAAAAAAACGTTCAACTGAATCTATTTGCTTCAAAGCTGATCAAACAATTCATAAGCTGACATTAGTTCTAGATTGATTTTACTACCACGGAATATGGTGACATTATCGAAGTTTCTCGAAGAAGACACGTTTGCATGTCTCAAGTTTATGCTCGCAGGTTCGTGTCTCAACTGCAATCACTGAACGGGTATTGAAGCTCGTAGTCATCTATTTACTCGGTGTCTGATCACCTCAACGATTTTAGTTATTAAAGTCACTGGGCAAGTTCTCACGCGACCGGTAGAGCCAACATGGGCGAGAGCCATCTTCTTCCTACGATTGGAGACTTGGAGTCAGTCTACCCTCGATCGCCAGACTGAGAGGTTGGTTTCCATCTCGTCTGCAGTGATCATTTTTTCAAGCAACTTCTTTAGCATTTATAGACGCAAAACGTCATCTATATACATCCCAAATCCTCTCATTTGCAATGCAAAACAGGGCCCCAATAGTCAAGATTTATACATCATTCTTCAGAAAAGTCATCATATACCGCCTCTTTGAAGAAAATAATCAATAAACATTTTGACTGACTTTCGTAACATAATACCAGTGGCCGAATATTAACGGTGGTTTAAAATTTTGATTGTTAGTTCGTGATGACTAGAAATTAATTAACGGAAATTGGGAGATTAGATATGTTGAGCAAAATTTGTTAATGCTAATTACATGCTTCGTTTGCGATAACAGACCAAGATATGAACAATGTTCTTCAAAACAAAAATTTTGATTTCACTTGATCAGTGTCTGCTATCCCTGTGCAACTCTTCCGTTCCTAAACGTAATCTATTTATGAAATTAATAACGTTTATGCGGCTGCAAGGAGTTATTTTTCCATCAGGTTTTTGTTCAAGAGAAAAATATTGCACTGTAATAGTATGCCATTGACGTTTAATCTCCTTGAAATAACCTCTGGGGAAAATTGTTTTTCTTCACAATCAATTTGTACACAAAATTGTACAAAGCGCTCATTATATGTTATTTGTTAATCAATATTAAATGATGAAAAAGATGAAATTGTCGATTGTCACTTGAGAAACCAAATAACACTTAATTTTTATTTTCAAATATCCTATTTTAAAGGCCCAGTTTTTAAAAGTTCATTACTTAGGTTTGTATAAAGTTGATACTGTTCAAGAAAATGGTTCTCAGCATGAGTAAAAAATTTGATATTAAATGTTATCAGCTGAATGTTATTAGTTAAATTAATAGTAAATGATTATATAGTTGAAAAAAGTTAAAATGTCATATATACTAGATATATACTAGTGGTTTATACTTGAATGTAATAGTTAGTGAGACAAAGATTAAATAATTGAATGAGTAATGTCTATTTAGCAGCAAATATCTAATAGAATTATTTGTTATTATTTTGTTTACTTGTTTAATATTTTAAGGTTTTGGGGCAATTACATAGGATTTTACAAGCAAGAACTCAATTTATATTTCGTGCAAAAAAATCTCGTAAAGGTAAAGAGATCGTTAGGCATTCATTCATTGGCACTAATTTCTTAGAAGATGGATTCTCTTCTTGCGTTGTTGCTATGAATGCACGATCTAGTACAACCTCCGATATATGTCAGACGGCTGCAGTTTTTAAGTAATCATGTCAATTTTTAAATGAATGATTGAAATTACAACTTTAATACATTAGAACTAATTATTTCAGTCAAAAAACGTTTTAAGGTAGCCGAACTCCATCCGAGTATGCAAGAACATATTAACAGAGAATAACAAAATCAGGAAATCTCAAAATATGAAAGATATTCTGAGTTTCTTTTTTTATGGAGTGACGCTGTCGTCTGGCGAACATTAGAAAGAAAACACAAACAAAAGCTTAATTGTTTTCAGTCGAGTATTTCAAGAGAATGTCCAATTCTCTAATTTCTCTCGCGTCATTTCTCTCGTTGACAATGCCGTCTGACAAACTAATTGAATCAATATCAACAATACACGAAAAACGATTGAACCCTAATATGCATCTATCCATTTTAATCGAACCACTTGGTTATGGTTTACTCAGGCTATTTATTGGAGCAGATGTCAAGGGATCATAGAGTTCGACTTCGGTTATGGTTATTTCTTCTCGAGATAATAATTAAAGTCACTTATAAATAAGAACTGATGTAATTTATTAATGGCCCCCCGTTTTGTTTGGTCCTGTCTAAACAAGAACTTGTTTCACACATCATTGCAGTCATTATTGGGCTAAGCTTTGATGGAGAAAACGTCGTCGTAATAACTATCTCTTGACCAAGAATATATAGAATCTAAGAAAACTCATGTAAATTTGCCACAACTTCAAAACGTTCTATAAGGCTTGCTCCATAATCAATTTAGAACTTACAATAATACAACTATAATAAACTGTGAGACAAAGCTTACAATAACATGATAGAGACTTTAACACTGAATGAGCGGGTCAAAGAATGTCAAAACCTATCGATGTATCAAGTACGAGTATAACATTCTGTTTTGTTTTCGGTCTGAAGTACTGCTGGCTAACCTACCAAATCTGCTAAGTTAATTTTATTAGAATTAAGCGATCTGCTTGTTTATGAGAACCATTTCAAGACATTAGCTTGTACCGCTGAAGCCTCAGTTTTAAGTATTTGAAATTTCTTTGAACGGGAACCTTGTCCTATAATAACGCTTACAGCTCTTTTCCATGTAAAGTTGTTAAGCGATAGGTTCTTGTGTTCCTTACGTTCTCTTCTGTAAATAAGGGTTTTTATGGTTTATTATTGTATTCTTTATGTTTTTGAATTGATGATTGATCTGGTCATGAATAACGTTCGCAATGTATATACGGCAAATTAACTTCCTAATTGTTTTCTTTGTTAAGTTGATGATATAATCAAACTACTGATATATAAATATCGAAATAGAAAAACATCGATGGAATATGAAGTCATTCTCTGAATTATTAATCAGCTACTCAATAGGGATTTATCGCATACCATATTAAGCACTGATTTCCTTTATCCGCATTTTTGTTTGATTCGTAAAAATATTCAATTATAGCTTGTGTATGTTAACAACGGCCACCCGCTGAATACTGGCACTCTATCCCACCAGGCATATAGCTGACGTTGAAATAACAAGGAATAAACCTTGTTTCTACAAAATCAATTCAAAGGTTGTTTTAAAGCCATTAGACTGCCATCATTTCAAATGTATCTCAGTCAAATGATGTAAGTTTATGAAAAAAAAATCTGATCACAAATTTGTTTTTTACTCATGCACGGCACAACCAAACGCTCAAACTCTCGTCCGCGCTGGCTTTGCTTTGCACGAAAACTTCGCAGCGCTCATCCGTTGTGCTTTAAATTCCTTCAATTATTGCCCAAATTTTTATTATATCATTTTGAAAATTGATCAAAATTATTACATAAAAATTATAACATATGTTCCTACTTCAAATGATCTATCAATTGAATTTTTTACCAAGGGGATGAATATAACCCACTAGCGTAATAATCTATTTGTTTCAAATTTGCGGATCTCAGCGATTCCAATTTTAATTAAATTTATTCCTTCAGGAGTTAGAAGCACTTCTCTGTCACAGAATCTCTGCAACGTAAACCGTCTGTTACAACGCGAGCGGAAATTAAACTATAATTGCTGCCCTAGCGTAAAGCGCGTAATAATTCCAGCCAGAAGAAGCAGTTTTCAAACCGTCAGAATCAGCATAAACCCCCAGGTGATTTTAGTAGAAAATTTTGTTTTTAGTAGTTTAGTTTTTGTTTAGTAGTTTTTGTAGTTGTTTAGCAGTTTTTGTTTAGTAGTTTTTAAATTTCACATTATATGTATTGATATAGGATATATTCACATTATATGAATTGCCTATCAACAAAGTCAAGTAAACTTAATTCCTCTGTATATTCTTGGTCATGTTTCAGAGCGATATCGCCCAGGCCATGTGGTCGACACAGCAGTCGTGCTTCCTCGCCTGCGTGGTCCATTCGGCGATCAGGATCTGCGTAGCCTTCATTCATGACCCAATTTACCATCAACCTAATTCAATTCTTCAGAGTCAATACAAATCTCTGGCAAGCCTTCAAGAATACAAACCCGCTAATAGGCAATCCGATGTGCCTGGGTATCTCCTGAACAGCTCAAAACTCTGGCCTGAAATAGCCTTGAATAACTCGCGTCTTCTTCCCCTGCTAAGGTCTGAATCAGGAAGCGATATTCTGGAGTTGCCTGAGGAATGGATTATTTCGAACCTCAAATTTCCTAACGGCCTCTCAGAAGAATGAAAATTTGCTTGCGAATTTTATTTGCAATGAGCAACTACCATTGAAAAATTTAGCTTTTGACGTCTGCACTCATCTTTCGCATAAAATTCTATCATTTATAAACTTCTCTTCCGAAAGCCAGTCGAGCTTTCTGCACCGAAGGAGCACTAGAGCTGCGAAGCAAAAAGAACGCTGGCGGGTGATGTTTTCAAGAAGCCCTCAATCATCAAGTTTTATAGGAAGTCCTGAAGTCTCAAGAAATGACTACTACGAAAATGAACCGCCCGTAGGTATCGTTATTGAGCCTAATGATGGACATCGCAAAGGCAAAGTACCGAAGTTGTTGGTGGCGCTCGTTGTCGGCACGTACGGCGCGCTCTCCTTACTGCTCCTGAGGTTGCTGCTCCAAATTCTGCTACCCGTAAGTGTTGGACCTCCTGGGGCATCTGGGGACAAAGGTATGATAGGAAATAAGGGTACACAAGGCGACAAAGGCATGAAGGGAGATAAAGGAATGAAAGGCATCAAAGGAGAAAAAGGGAACAAGGGCTTGAAGGGCATTTCTGGGCCGATGGGACCACAAGGATCAACAGGAGGACCGGGACCCGTGGGAGCTCAAGGCCCTGGTGGAGACCCTGGGATGCCTGGAGACATTGGGGATGATGGAGACAAAGGAATGCCGGGTGACCCTGGTATGCCGGGACCCAACGGAGCCGACGGAGACGATGGAGAGGATGGTATGATAGGTGACAGTAATGTGTCTGGTCGAGACTTGAGCTACAGGAGCTTGAAGAAGAGACACGCCAGAGAGTCAACTGTTGAGCTGCAAGATGCACCGCAGCTGCTAGCATTCCTCTACTCCAAAATAAACCAAAAATCTGCGACTTTGACAAAAGAGGTCGACAGTAAATGCGATGCCGTGAGTGCGGTCAACGAATTGTGGCATCAGTTCGAAGACCCTACAGGCTGCGTCAAGTGCTCGCTCTTTGAGTTCTTCTTATCATCGAAATATGACGCAACTGATTCCCTGATTCTGTAAGAATGAAATTTAATGGGAACAATCTTCAATTTTCTTTGTAATTATCTCCAAATTTGGCTTGCATTTATCTAATAAGTTGTATTCACTCCTTGAGAACACTCAATGCCTTCTATGAGGCTAACGTTGTAGGAGACCATGCAGAGTTGTTAACATAAAGGCTTTAAGCGAGTTTACTGGTTGGCATGAAAAATTGGTTGATTGATCGATACATTACCTCTTTGTTGAAGACATTAGAAGCAGTAGGTAATTATTCCTTATGGATACGTGACGTTACATAATTTGTTAGTCGTACTCTCGTACACTTAAGAAACATGAGCCCGAAAAACGAAACAGTAAAGTGAGTTGTTTGCTAAAGAAGTCCTATTCAGCTTTTATAATCACATTAGATGGTTTAATTCTGAAATAAATAAAAATAAATACATTTATATTTTCGTTGTCCAGGGCGAGCTTGGCTCACGTGCTGGGAGTGCAGGAGTCGCACCAGCTGCACGCGGCCACCTGGGCGGCGCGCGGCAGCAACCAGAAAATCTTCTGCAGGCGCCGGGAAAATTCCTGCGACGTCGTCCAGCAAACCGACGAAGTCTTCGCCCTACCCAAGGAAATATAACATCGATTGATATATTGCTGTTTGAAATTGTTTGTGGTCTGATTTCAATAGAAAACTATTTAGGAGACTTTCAACGTGCACCTATAAAATCATAGGATAAAGATTTTATTTGGTATGATCAGAGAGAACTAGTCAAGGCCACAATTCAATACTTCATCAAATATTTAAAACGACGGAGTTCGCGTTAGATGGGGATGGTTGTGTGAATAATTCGCCCGATCCCAAGTTCCTCGAGTTGGAATGGGATTCATCAGAAAGAATATATATAAAAGGATGAATCGAAATGGTCAAATGAACGAAACAATATTTAAACGGCTGATACGAAATGAAAGAGCTGGATGAAATGTTTAAATGGTTAATTTAGATTTTTTGCCTCGTTTTCTGTAGATAAAGAATTTAAGAATAAATCTTGCCGGACAATAGGCGAGAATGAAGAATAAGATGAACTAAAATGTATTTATTCGAATGCAAGAATTTCATTTAACTATGGTGGAGCGCAGGATATCAACTTGAATGTGTTCGACGTTTGCATAGGTTCAATTATTTGTTTGAATCAAGCGCATTCCTGTACGGTTGCCATAACTGATCTGAATTAAATTGCCTACGCTTCAGCTCGCCGAATTCCGAATGGGGCTTGATTGAAGGATGACCTGACAATTAATTCAAATACACACGTACAGGCCGATAGGGTAAATTAAAATAATTAACATTCTCGCAGGTATGTATGGTCATTCAAAATAATTAACGTAAACGCAGGTTACATGGTAAATCATCATAATTAACATACACGCAGGTATGTATGGCTAAATAATACAATTAGCATACACGCAGGTATGTATGGTTGATTAATATAATTAAAATACACGGAGGTGTGTATGCGTTTATTTTAATATAATTAACATACACGCAGGCATGTATGGTTAATTAATATAATTAACATACGCGCAAGTGGGTATGGTAAAGTGATGCAACAAAATTGAATCCAATGTAGTCACTTATACGCATACCTACATATACAGTATGCATACTTCAGATAAACAACGTAAGTGATGGAGTTTGCTTCTTATATGAATTTATGTTCGCATATATTCCAGGACTGTGTTCATCGTTGACTACATAACAGTTAAATCAATGAATGTTTTAAACCCCAAAATGAATATTCAAATGAGTGTTAACGAATAAAGAAAAGATCAACCGGTTTATGGTTGCAACGATCGAGAGAGTGCTGATTGACAAGTCTAGCGTGGAGAAAGATTTAAGAGTTTATGTCAAAAAGGAGTTGACATTTTTCCAGCATATTGACATAATCCAATAAACGGCTTAATTGGACTGATCAGAAGCTGTTGCGAACCTTGATGCACAAGCAATGAAGCTGTTGTTTGTCGCTGTCTTGCGTACGAACCTAGAGTTTGGAAACGCCGTGTGGTCACCAAAGTTCGAAAAGGACAAAAATTTATTCGAGAGTGTTCTAAGACATGCAACAAGGATAATTCTAGGATTAAAGGTCAAGTCTCATGAAAAAAGCTTGAAGATAATGAAGCTTACAAGCCTCTGTTATTGACGTCTGCGTGGTGACCTCATCGAAGTATCCAAGTATACCCACGGTTTTTATACAAGGTCCCAGATGGAGTCAAAGAATTTGAAACATAACCAACATCAGGGGCCACGGCTATAAACTAAAAAAATGCGTTGCAACTCATCGACGCGACAACATTTCTTCTCGCTTCGAGTCACCGACATGCGGAACAGCCTCCCTGATTACATCGTTGTCGCTCCGAGTATGAACGCGTTCAAGAACAGACTAGACAAGGCCATGCAGAGGCACATGTTCAGTTTTGAAATGCCTAGCACCCTACGGAACTAATATGAGTTTAGTAATAAGTTCAAACCAACGTCAGTTGAAAATATCTGGTCAATTGGCCAGTTTTTTAAGATCTGTGGCCCAATCACGAAAAGTATATATATACAAGAATCGGCGACAGGCCTAATGACCTATTCTTCAGCGCCGTAGATGCTATGCTTTAACTATACTAAACATATGAATGGCTGTTCTTAATTCTCAAAAATTAGGAACAGGACAAGAACGAGCTGCAAGACTCGAGTGTATATGCTCAGCATGGAATGCGCTCCGGGAAGTTGGGCGCCTCAGTGGCTTTGACAAGATAATGCTAGCTTTCTCTAGGAGATGTATGAGTACCATCAATAATGGAGGCACTGCCCAAATCACCTCGCCTGCAACAAGGTGGGCAAGGACTTGTTTGAAAGCAGGTCAACAGGTTCAGATTGTGACGCTGCAATCTTCCGAGTCAGTTTCAGCCTTCAAATCTTCCTGAATGACAGTGCAAAATTAACAAGTTCCAATTGGAATGAACTGAATATTTTTTGACGCCAAAATCATTTATGCAAAATGCATTCTAAAATAATATACGTTTAAAAATTAATTTTTAAAGACAACACTTCCAAAGAATCCAGTATCTCCAATCTTACAGATGTACAATGAATTTCTCATCTAATTTTCGAAAATTAAAAAAAAATACCTTTTCAATTTTTTAAATATATATAAAATTTTTTTAATATATACATTTTAATTTCTAATTTTTTAAAATCATTTATTTTGACATTTGATTCATGCATTGTCTCTAACTTTACACAAGTGTGCAAAATTTCAGATCGATAGGATAAATAGAAGTGTATTAAATTTCGATTATAAGATTTGTAGCAGACAGACAGACAAACAAGAAGTGAAGTTAAAGAGAAGTGTTGTAAAAATGATTTATATTGAAATCACAATAATGTGAGCAAGCGGCAATACCTCCATTCGGTTAAGAACTCTGTAAATTTTCTCGGTTAATATCCGTTACTTTTGAATAAAGTGGACATAACCATAACAATTAAAAAAAATATGCAGCCTTCCATTACACTTGGAAACTCAAACATAGCCCAGCACGCTACTTGAAAATAGAACGTACGAAATTTTATCTGCACCTGCAACAAAATCCGCCCTGTTTGAAAATCCATTCGATTTTCGGCATTCCGATTCTTTGCCATATAAGACCTAAAATATGCGTGTACGGTAAAAAATAGATGTATAAATTTCCTCGAATATTTCATTGTCACACATTTTTTAAAATACGACCACGTATAGCAGCCAGCTTGTTATTTCGCTCTCTTTGAAACCCATGTTTTCTACGCAGCAGGCGAATCCATTTTTCTTCCGTACGTTTGAAACAGTCTTGCTCGTTTGATTGGTCTGCTAGGTAACTATGAGAGGCGGGCGTTCCTTAATTGGTTTTCATGCGTTTTAATGAATTGCTTTTAAGAACGGTCAAGAAAAGTTATGAGGTGACATAAATTGACTGCCCATGCAATGAGAATCGAATAATGAAAATACTAGATGAATATCCTAAGTAAATGCAATTAAAAAAAAGCACCGCATCGTCAGAAATTCAGAAATCAATTGCTACAATTTTATTTTACGTATTTTGACTCAATTTAATGCTTATCTAGTAGAGGAGAGAGTTCGTTATGTCCCGTATATGTTCGAGTTAAAGATAAAGAATAGCAATGATCTTCACAATAGTCACTACGCTTACCTACATTGCAATTAGTTTCATGCAGTAGTTGAAAATTTACTGTTCAAAATCGAGCACACGCGATGAATGATATTTTCCATCACATTTTATTCAACCAGAATACTTTCGCGTTTGATTGCGGTGGTCAAACACTGCAGCGCTTAAAACTGGATTATTTTTTTGCAGCGGATGGGGGTGTTAGGCCTGAAATGAATGTTTCAATTGTGTTTCTTTTATTACATTTTAAGAAATATGGTGATGTATAATTTCTATATTCCGTACTGTGCTTCATGATGCTTCAACTTTTATGTATAAACGAGTACCGTTGTTGAGAAATTTGCGAACTACGTATGGCTAGGAAAAAGAAAAAAATTTATACATTTTTAAATTATGTTTTTGCTAACCCAGAAGAACAAAGCCGGTCATTACCTGGATGATAGTGCATATTTTATATGCAATTTTTTAAATTTATCAAATGTATAGCTTCTAAAAAATACTTGTAATTAAAATATTTGTCACTGAAGTAGTAAACCTCTAGTGGTTGAAATAAAGTTCAGATAATTAAATCGAGAAATTGAATGTTCCATTAAATTAGGAAGACGGTGGTTTGAAGGAGAAATTGCCATCTCGACACGCAAAATTGTACCTCATCAGAAANAGGATGACGTGCATTAAAGGTTCCCAAACCCCTGCTTGTGAGTTCCTTTAGAGTTTATACGCCTGGAAACGTGCAACAAATTATTGATAACTGTATTGTTATCGGGAGCTGAGCTTCCCTAAAAGTTTCAGAACGCTAGCTAGCGGGAAAGTTGGTGAAATATCGATTGCAAGATTTGATCATCACAGACAGACAGACACGAAAGCGAGCTAAGAAAAACGTGGTAAAAACAGCAAAATTTTAAATTTTCTAATAAATGCACTTGGTTAAATTTACTTATGTGATGTAAACAGTACAGTCTTAGCAGAAATCAGTGTTTCCGTTGTGAACCGAGTGAATTTACGGGTGACTTTACGGATGGAATATTCATGTTTCGTCTGGAAGCCCAAGCTATGAATATTGTAGGCATATTTAAGGAGAGAACTGCGCAGGAGATACACATCGATTGCACAGATACTTCAAAATATTACTTTCGCTTGTTATACAATATACACTGATATATTGTTGGTTAGTATTCGTGAAGAGACGCCTTATTCCATGTAATGGCAGTGCTTGTAACATTATTTATGGTCTCCAGCCAAATTTTGTGCAATTGATTATTGGCCATATATTGAAGCGGGAAAATAACATTTGATGACATTTATTAGTGCATTAACGAGAGAGCGGTTACAACTTGCAACAAGCCTAATCTGCGGAACTGTGCGTCAACATTTCCCCATGGTTGAACTAGTATATTTCCCATGGCATTAACCAATCGTCGAAAGGCGATCAAACCAGTCAACCAATCCGTCGTGGGAATGACGGGTTTGTTTACGTTTCTCGATCTACGTGACGTAACAAGAAAGCTGAACTGAAAGACGGAACTTCTCGTGGGTCAACCTTATATTAGTTATATAGTTCCACGGTTGAACATGTAGTTCAACTGTTCAACTAGTAGCAGTTGAACTAGTAGAGTAGTAGTTCAACCATGTACTAGTTCAAACCATTATATAGTTCAACCACGCATTTCCCCAACGTACGAGCTAACGCTATTATAATTTGTAACTACTTTCCTTTTGCTCAGCGACATGCAGATGCAGCGACATCATCTTTCTTTTAGTCAGCAAGCTGTCGTGCCTCCTCGCCTGCTTTGTCCGTGACCCATCTTTGTGGAGCCCATCTTCATGACCCAATTTACCATCAACCTAATTTAATTCTTCAGAGCCGACAATAAGCTCTTGCAAAGTGCAAGCCTCCAGAAATACAAACCTGTGTTGATAGACAATCTCATGTGGCTGAGCATCTTTCGAAGAGCTCATGGCTTATTCAAATGAACCTCGTTTAGTCTTTGTGCTTGGGTTAGAATAAAAAAGTATTATTTTGGTCCGCTTTGTTTTCACGTAGTACGCTACATTCACGCTAAATTAGTTAGGCGTGAAAAAAGAACAAACACTTCAGGCGCTACTTGGAAACGAAGCAGACAAAAGTAATTCTAACAACGCTACCGTAGCACGGTAGCAGGAGTGCATTGTGAATAAATAGCTTCGTTGTTAATTAGGTGAAGTTCGGGTTGAATTTAGAAAATTTGTGAGTGGTAAACCAGCTACAACTTAGCGTTTAGCTTCCTAATTAAAATGTAAGCGGACAGAAAAGGTTGACAACGCTTGCAGGAGCGTTATGTCGAT